GTCAAGGCAGCTGTCCGAAGCGGGCCAATTGGAGTTCTGAATGCCGGAGCCTCCCGGCAGAGTCCCAGCTGACAGACCCTGGGTGCATCCCACTTCACATCTGCATACTTTCTGCATTGCGGATCTTGTCGGCATTGTCAACTCAGTCAGAACGGCCTCTGTGGGTCATAGATGCTTCGGGTATGGTCAACGCTAATCCGCATATATTGGCGTGAAACTTGCCATCCCAATGACCAGCTGCATCTGAATGCCGAGACCTACCAGCCCCATAAAGCTTCATAGAGCCGCGAACCCTGAACCGAAAGCCCCTTTACTTGGCCTTACACTCGTAAACCCTTTCAAGAACCTACTGACGCCATCATTGAGGCTGCCGGCATGAAGAAAACGTCACGCCAAAGCTTCACGATGATGCAGATGCCATGTACAGCAAGGAAGAGACAGAGTTCCAATGTGTACCTGCGATATTTGCCTACGGGTGCTTCGGTTTGTATTGATTTCACATATGAAGCAGGGAATACAGCATGTTCGCGCAGTCGACAAGCGACGCATCACATCAACGCCAAGCTTCGACAGTACACGTCGCCATGCCATCAATTAGTAGCAACGGAAGTCGCATGTCTGTGTCTTCTCAATGTCTTAACAGCTAGAAGCAGATGAAAGAGGAACAGCAGCAGCAGCAGCAGCAGCAGCGAACGTAAACCAATGCAAAGGACAAGCAAAGCAAGACGGTCATTCACCGGCAATGACACGTACCTCGATGCTGCTGCAACGGCGCAAACAGCAGTAAAGGTGGTGGGAATGATGCTGCCAGCCATTGTCTAAGCCTCCTGTTCTTGCTGCTGCTGTTGATGCTGGTGCTGGTGCTGTTGTTGTTGTTGTTGTTGCTGTTGCTGTTGTTGTTGTTGCTGTTGCTGTTGTTGTTGTTGCTGTTGCTGCTAGTGATGCTGTAGTAGTAGTAGTAGTAGTAGTAGTAGCAGCAGCAGCAGCAGCAGCAGCAGCAGCACCATTAGTAGGAGTAGGTTCAGGAGTAGGAGTAGGAGCAGGAGTAGGAGTAGGAGTAGGAGTAGGTTCAGGAGTAGGAGTAGTAGTAGTAGTAGTAGTAGTAGTAGGAGTAGTAGTAGTAGAGTAGTAGAGTAGAGTAGTAGTAGTAGTAGTAGTAGTAGTAGTAGTAGTAGTAGTAGGTAGTGGTGGTAGTAGTAGTAGTTGTTGTTGTTGTTGTTGCTGCTGCTGCTGCTGCTGTTATTGATGATGTTGTTGTTGTTGTTGTTGTTGATGTTTTTCTTGTTTTTAATCTTGGTGTTGCTGTTGCTGTTGCTGTTGCTGTTGCTGTCGCTGTTGTTGTTGTTGTTGTTGTTGTTGTTGGTGGTGGTGGTGTTGTCGTCAGCGTAGTTGTTGTTGTGGTTGTTGTTCTGCTGCTGCTGCTGCTGCTGCTGCTGCTGCTGCTGCTGCTGCTGCTGCAGAGCAGCACACAAGTGAAGAAGCCCAAGGTGCCATCGGAAGAAAGGAAACGGTAAAGTAGTAGCAATGACCGACATGCTAGTCAGAATCACAATCATGGTTATCGTCATCATCCCCATCGCCATCATCATCAGCACGTCCACTCTACTTGCTGCTGCTGCTGCTCCTCGTTGTTGTGACATCTCGGCTTTGAGGTTGGGGTTCAGTGTTTAGGGTTTATGGTATGTAGGTATCAGGGTGCAGGTTAGGAACAGAAACAGGAGATGACAAGATTGTTGAGACTTGTGGTTTGCTTCGCACGGCAAGCTCCCGCGACGCCTACCCTAAACCCTAAATCCTAAACCCTAAACCCTAAACCCATAGAGTAAATGTGAAAAAGGGACTCTACCCTAAACCCTAAATCCTAAACCCTAAAGCCTAAATCCCTACACCTAGAATTCCTAAACCAGGCTTTGCTTTATCGGACAGAAGCTCGAGACTTAACCTCTAAAACCCAGAGACTCCGATATCCCTTGATGAAGGAATATACCTTAAATCATATTAGGGATCCTACTATAATATAAGGTATATTCCTTAATTCAGGGATATTGGAGTCTCTGGGTCCCCACAAAGCCCGGAATGCTTCAGGCTCCGTCCTCCGGCTCTTGCTTTCTCGCTTCCTGGCACAATCTGTCCCGTCGCAGAGACACCATCGTCGGATAAGCCTCAACTTGCCCTGAACCATACTTAACCTGTAGACCCTACTGTACGCCCAAAACCTACAGAACTCTGCAATTTGGGGCATAATGCGCCAGGCGTCGGTTCGGGTTTGGAGTTTAGACCCTCAGCTCTGACACCTACACGCAGAGAACCCAATACCCTTAATGATGGAATACACCTTAAATCATAATATTAAGTCCCCTGTAACTTAAGTTATATTCCTTGATTAAGGGATATTGGGTTCTCTAGGCATGACAAACCGTGCACGTGGCTCCGGGTGTTCAGGGCTTTCATTTGAGTGGCTTCGGGGGCTATGGTCTATGGTTTAGGGTCGCGGCTTTTGGGTAGCACCACAGAGCATTAATATAGGGGCCTTAATGTTTAGAATAGGGTTCGAGGGTATCTTATACTATAATTACAGGAAGGAACCCCCCAAAAAATCCGATTCTTATTATTAAGGCCCCTACATTAGGCTTTCGGAAGAAGGTCCCCACCTTCAGGGATGATCAGAGGATGCTATATCGGACAAACGTTCAGGAACATGAATGACGTTCAGAACCCTAGTCTCTTGAGCGTGAAAGACAAAACTCCCTGCTAACATGAGCCTTAAATCATCCTGAATAGGTTCAAGAAGGTTTTCAGGGGCACATGGTACTATATGAATAGCTTTAGGAAGCCTAGGGAATAACGTTTTTGCAGTTGATACATATCCCGGCTTCTACGTCAGGCTTTATTGCCATGAGGATTCACAGCATCCGAAGCCGAATCCCATCTGAGGCACCTCGGGGTGCAGCTTGGCATAGAAGTAGGCCTGGTGATGGTTCAGGGTTTAGGCTTACTTAGGGCTGGCTTTCAACCCCAGTTCAAAACCCTGGCCTTGTTTCGGCAAAGGGCAAAGGAATCATGCCACGAGTTCTCGCTGCCGCTGTCTCAGCGGTTATCTAGCTGTCTAGCTCTTACTCAGCAGCTTGAGGGCCGCGACCGCTACATGGCTGCAACTTGGATGGTACTTGAATGCGAAACTAACTTGGCCTCAGAAGCGCATCATCGTTTTACTCTAGTAGTACCGAATTCTCCAACCCGCGATCTTGACAGCTGGCTCCTGTCTGCTGGCGCAAACTTAATTCAACCCTTCCGCGAACCCTCAACTGCCTCCCTCCACTGCAACATCTTCTCATAGCACTCATCCGGGTATAAGCGCGAGGTGTCCTGCCGACGGCCGATTCGTTTGCTTTTCTTGTTTGAGAGCTTCCCGACTTAGGATCGACGTTTAGGAGTCAAAGGCCAGGGCATGCAGCTGAAAGTTGCAGAATCTTGTTTTGGAACGACGGTACGACAGGTAGGCTTCGGGTTCGTCTTCTGCGTCAGCAAATGTGGTCGTGATATAACGGGAACACTCAGACATGATGGCTCATTATTGTTGAAATTTAGTTTTGCAAGACAGCTTGCAGAGTGTCAGTGATGGAAAGCCCAACCATTTTGGGAATGGGAACTGCCAAAGACATCTTCCCGAATAATGTCTACTCTACAACAAAGAGCCGGGTCCTGCCTATGCTTGGAGGGAACGGAAAAGTTAGCTTCCACATGTCTCCATAGTCGTTCAGCCTAGAGTCGCGGTCGATACCTTTCAGAAGCGAATGGCAGCAACAAGACGAATAGTGGTGATGGCGGCAGTGGCGGGGTGAGACGGTGTTGGCGGAATTGCTGTTGTCGAGCAGAATACTGCATGATGCACAAGAAGAACATCTCAGAATTCAAGCAGTCTAGGGTGCTCGACCCAACGCAGGATTTTGTCCATCGATGCAGGATGTTGTCCACCCACAGTAGTACTGGCCGCCGCCATTAGAATCTTGTGTCCCTGAACCGAAGAGCTGTAGACACTTCCAAAGATCATGCCGTAGCCACTTCGCACCCGTTATCAACATCCTGATAGCAACTTTGGTTGGGGGTTCATCATCATGGAACTCTCAACCCTAAACCCTAAACCCTGAAACAGAACTCTAGGGCGAACTCGCATCCGCAGCAAAGCGCCTTCTTGATATGCGGCGTGGGCCTGTGGAGAACACTTCACTTCGCGTTTTGGGCTCTATGCTTCTAGGCTGAAGTTCGTTTAGAGTTTAGGGTTTAGGTATACGTTGCCAGCCATGAAACAACCAGCTTTCTAGATCTGCTGGTGGTTTACAGCCGCCTGCGGCATCCACTGGGGACCGAAGGTCAGCGCGACGGTTCCGGCCTACAGGCCTAGGGGTTCAGGGTTTAGGGGATAGGGTTTGGGTTTGAGGGTTTAAGGGCTTATCGGCTTAGGGGTCAGGGTTTTTTTTTATTAGGGTTTAGCCGTACAGCCCAACACTTCAGAAATGCTCAAATCAGGTGAACATAACTGTGCAGACGTGCGAACTCTTCACTTGGACCTTTAAACCCTCCGATATGTCAAGCCTGACCCGGGACCCTAAAACTTTAACCCTGCACCCTAAGCCTTAAACCCGAAGCCCCAAACCCTAAACCCAAACAACAAAGCCAGAACCCTCCAGCAGGAAGTTCCTCACACCTGAAGCACCTTAATAAGTCGAACGGTGGTTGGGATGAGTCGCTTGTAGAATGTTTCGATAGGGACTGTGATGGGGAGAAAGGGCCTGCACTTCATCGTCAGAACAGGACTTGCGTGGACATTGTAAAAAAGGATGCAGTCCTAGGCAAGTATGGCAAGTAGTAAATCACAACACCCGCAGTTTCAAACCAACACGCACTGTCGGGGCCCTAAACCTCAAGAGACCTAACGTGGGGTTTCAAGGATCTCTTCTGCAAGGGCTTATCGATATGTCAATCCCCCTTGGTGTCCGTGCTTTTTCGATTTCAGCAGCCGCTTCCAGCAGGGCTCTGAGACGAGCTTCGGTAGGTCGAAGTTGACGCCCTGAGGTTTCAGGGGTTTGGGGCGTAGAGCTTTGGGCTTGGGGGCCAAAACTTTTTCCCCAGCCGCCAGCGGACGAAGTCACGTGGCAGGGACATTCGTCCGAAGTGAAACTGAAGATGCAAGCCTTTTACAGGGGATCCCGCAATTCTTGTTCAGTCGACAGCACAGGTTGAGGGTCAGGACTCTTCGAATCTTCAAGGCTTGGGTTAGTTGAGGGCTTCTGGTTCTAGATGTTTAGAGGCTTTCCTTGGAAGATCCGGGGTGGACATGGTCAGCACCGTTGACAGTTGCGGGTCTTGTGCTGGCGGCTTCAGGTCAGCCCACGATGGTTCGAGATTTAGGGCGTAGGATTTCAGACACGGATGCTGTTACTCCCTTGGCTTAAGGATTGTTTAAATTGAAAGCTCTGCAAGCTCTGCAATTGTGTAGGGTTTCGGGCTTAGGGTAGGAGCGTTCAGAAGCCGATGGGCCCAAACAAATGCCCCCGACAAGATTTCAGAAACTCCTGTTTTGCCTCAACTGCCATTGCCCGCAAGTTTCGCGATTCCGTCAGTAGCTCTAACCGCGAAAGTCCATCTCTTCCTTTTGCCTCTTGACAATACTTTTCTGTGAGCTTTCAAAGTCCCCAAACCCTGAACCCAAACCCCTAAACCCTAAACCCTGAACCCCTAAACCCTAAACCCTAAACCCGAAACCCTAAACCCTAAACCCCAAACCCTAAACACTAAACCCGAAACCCTAAACCCTAAACCCCAAACCCTAGACACTAAACCCGAAACCCTAAACCCCTGAACCCTAAACCCCTAAACCCTAAACCCTAAACCCTAAACCCCCACCCTAAGGGTCCATATGTTAGGTTTAGGGTTTAGGGTTTAGGGTTTAGGGCTTAGGTTTTAGGGGTTGGGTTTAGGCTTTAGGGTCCATGTATACTACCATTATGGAATTAGGTGCCCCAAACCCTAATATGAATGGTCTTTTGGGACCTCATACCATCATCTTAGTATACATGAACCCTCTGGGACAATGTTGAAGCTCCCCAAAAGAGATGCCCAAACCCCCTATAGCTACCTTTAATCACAGTAAGGGTTCCTTTCAATGGTGGTTCTACTCCGTAGTTGATGGGGTTTTCCCTCTTCTGGTAGTTATATTCCGTAATTAGAGGGTTGTGCCTTTAAAGGTAGTACCATGTCGTTCTATTCCGCGTATATCGGAGTGTGGAGTCTCTGGTAATCAGGCCTTCTTGTCCAGGTCGTACTTGCTCGTGCTCACCTCGGCGGCGGCGTGGCAAGGCTGGCGGAATACTGAAATCGTTGTAGAGAATCAACCACCAGAAAGACCTACTCCTAAGGGCTCCTTATCATGATGTTACTATGGTATATCTCGGAATTCTATTCTATTGCTGACTATAATCGAAGCTCGTAGATTAGTCTCACGTCGCAGCTTGCATGTTTACTATCGAGACGCTCAGTAGGAGCATCAGCATCACTTATAAGGTCCTCATAAACGCTATATGAGTCTTGAATCGATCACTTGGAACCTACCAGTGTACGGAATGGTAAACAATCTTCCTTGAGGGCCAGGCATTCCTGAACCTTCCCTCAGCATGCGCAGACTCTAAACTCTGAGCCCTAAGCTGTTTTTCGACTTAGTGCTGAAACACTGAAGCTAAATCTCACACTGCAAAATCGAAGGCCTTCAGCTTTGCATGGGGCGGGAATGGGATACAGTCTTCTACTAAGCAGCATTCAACCATAGATACAGACGGCTGGACACCCATACCTTCACACTACCCGCACATCTATCGCATGAGCCCAAAGAGCTTCACAGCCTAGAGAGACAAGGTCAAGTGTCGTCACCTGCCTAGCTGATGTGCGCCACATTGCAAGGCTTGAAAGGGGAAGCGCGTCTAGCATTCCCTGTCGATGTCTTCCCAAACCCTCTCCTTCGCAATTGATCACCACTCCTCAATGCCTCACCGCCTAAATCCAAACTGTGGTAAGGGTTTGGATGTCTCGACATTTGGGGCTCTTGCGCATTTGCTTCACCCTAAACTCCTTCAGCCCTCCCAGCATCTGTATTGGGGCCCCATTAGCACCACGTAAACCCTTTTTTTTGCAACAGGCTTTCCACTTCGCCCGGAGACCACGTAAACCCTAAACCCTAAACCCTAATCGAACCGTTACAGAAACCCTGCAGCACCATTTATAGAACCATTCTCCAGGCCCGGGCGTTGATGCTGCGAAGGAGCTTTAAGCTCACCTTCCGGGACTTTTTGCGGCCTAGGAGAAACCTGCAGGTTTGAATCCGCTAAAGATCTGTGTAGGGACCCTAAACCCTAAACCCTAATTAGCCTAAGCCCTAAACAAAAACTGGATCTGTCAGGGGTCAGGGAGCCTCTTTGTGACGTTTGATTCAGCCTGAACTAAAGGGAACGAAGGACTTCCAAGTTGTAAGTGGGGCTTGCGTTGCGCGGGTGGAGCAAAGCCTTACTTCCCCAGTAAGCCAGGGAAATAAAAGGTTAAACTTTCAGACTACTACTAGATTATGAGAACCCAACAAGTTTAAAGGTTGGGTATGGGGAACGAAGAAGCCTTTCTAGATCAGAGTCTTTGGCTGGGGAATTGCATACGAAAAGTAGGGCCTCGAACGCTCACGGGCAGGTTTCTCGGCTCTTAGTACATGACGGCACCAAACCGCTCCGAGCCTGACTGTGACAAGAACATCCCTAAACCCTAAACCTTGGCTTGAAAAAGCGCAAGATTCCACCAGTAAGGCTCTTCGGATCGGAATATTAAAATAAGGTTCTGGGGACCTTTATACTATAACCATAAGAAGTAACCCCGCAGAATAATGTTAGGCAATTGTGTAGGCCCCTATATTACTCTGTGTGTCCTGGCAAGTCTAGAGGCAAGTCCCATAGACTATGCGCAGAAGCCTGGTGCTCTGTATGAGGGTTTAGGGTTTAGGGTTTAGGGTAATGTCTCTGGTTCCAGGTTACAAGTGCCCCCTGGCCCACACGAAATGTAGGTAATAACTCGACGAATCAACTACTCCTACATATAACCCTACTTCTGACTACCCAGGAAGCTCCAAGTAATGTAGGGGCCTCAATAATTAGGAAAAGGTTTTGGGGTATATTGTACTGTATAATGACAATAAGGAGCCCACCAGAATGGTATAGGTAACTATCAAGGCCCCTCCCGAAACCCCAAACCCTAAACCCATAGTAGTATAGGTAGTATAGGGAACTATTAAGGCCCCTCCCTAAACCCTAAACCCTAAACCCAGAGTAGTATAGGTAGTATAGGGAACGATTAAGGCCCTATGTTAACCCCGAAGAACGCCATAAGTTGGCCCTAAACCCTAAACCCTAAACCCTAAACCACAAACCCTGGGGCCCGCGGCCTCAAATTCTTGTCCGTGGCTCACACCACGGAAGTAGACCCGCTGGTCCTGCTTTTCTTTGCGGTTGCCCCCTAAACTCTAAGGACTCTATGCCTTGGGTACTGCCCCCCTACACTAACAGTCTATAATAGGGCTACTATTCAGGGCCCAAATATATCCATAATATAGATATTATCCGACTGTTACTGTGTGTGGGCAGTACCCAATCTATGCCCTGCATGACACCAAGATATCTTCAGGCACCTCGTGTTGCTCCGTAACTTTACTGTCAATGTCATCATGCCAAAGTGTGTTGTGCTCCTTGGGCTCTCGCCGATCCTCTCGCAAAGTAATCCTTTGATAGCTACACAGGAATAGTGGTGGCAAAAAGAGGAGGAGGTGAAGGTGAAGGAGGAGGAGGAGGAGGAACTAGCTAATGTCGAGTCCTTCTGCAAGCGTAGTGGTACTTCTCGTGCTAGTCGCAGTAGTGGTGGTAGTAGTCAGCATAGCCGTAGTCGTTGTGGTGATGGTGGTGGTGGTGGTGGTGGCGGCGGGAGCCACAGTGACTGCCGTAGGGAGCGGAAGGTTTCGGAATTGTCACTTTGTAGACTTCCTTTGTCTAGAGGATTCTTCAACCCCAATCGCAGCTAGGCAACTCTACCCGACGTGCCAGGGCTCAACCCCAAGCCACTTATGACATGTCACCCCAGCCCTACATGCGCGATGTCCGGCATCCCGGAACCACACTCGATAAACTTTGCTTGACCGTGGGCCCTGCGCCCTGAACCCATACAACCAAGGATGTTTGTAGGAGATGAAGCAGAAGCACAACCACCCAAGGAGACACATCCAAAGCACCTCAGAAGCGTCCCAGCCAAGACACGAGGTCCGCTCAAAGCTTTCTTGTTCAGGGCTGAAGTAGTGTTGGTGTCAGAGGATTGAACTGGGCTCTAGAGGTTCTTGTTGGAGCCAAGATTGTTCTGCTTTACTCCGAGGCCCTTTGATTCAGGAGTATAGTACGGATCCGAAAACTGAAACATGTGAGCCTTAACGGATACAGGAATCCCTGGCTAGGTTTAGTTTTTAACCCCCCAAGACTCCAAATAAAAATAGTCCGAAGTAGGTGGTATTTATCGACTCTAGACCCCAAAGTAGGTAGTATTTGTATACTTGGAGTCTTAGGGAGCTTAAACGGCTTCCTATCTGTTCCTACTGCTCTGCCTCCAGCTCCACCTCCGGCTCGGTGACATCTTTCAGCGGAATGCTTAAGAAGATCCTCAGCGCGCTTGTGGCAGGGAAAAGGGTTTAGGGTTTAGGGTTTAGGGCTTAGGGTTTAGGGTTTAGGTTCATGACTAGAACAGGGTTTTGGGCGGAAAATTGTACTAGATGTAAGATGATATAAGGAACCCGAAGGACTCATGTGTTGGTATCTGTTCAGGCCTTACATTAGCCGCCCCAGAAGCCCAATTACGGACATGATGGGCCTTTAATCATTCTAACCGATGGTCATAAAGGAACACTAGCCTACAAGACAGGAAACTGTGCTTCGAGTGTAATATAGCGGCCTCAACAAATGGAGTTGGGCTTTGGGGTATATCTGACTATAGATACGACAAGGAACCTTAACGAATAATATTGGTAACTAAGCTATTCCGGCTTCTATATTATGGCCAGCGAGTGTCCGTTAGTTGCAAACTCTCTCAAGAGCTTTGTGCTGTTCGTGGCGGTTTGCTCCCATCTGTCGCTACAGCCTCACGAAAGCAAAGCTTTGGTATCTACAGATTGAAAGGACAAGGTGCTGCCTTGGTTGTGTGATTTGCACACTGTCTGGCAAGCCGCTCGCTCGTTCGTCTTTCCATTCTCTCGGTCTCTCGCTCTCTCTCTCTCTCTCCCTCTCCCTCCCTCTCTCTCTCTCTCTGTCTCTCTCTCTCTCTCTCTCTCTCCCTCTCTTTCAAAACCCTATTTTGACCATCAAGGCCCCTACATTATCTTCCTGTCTGTTTCGCCCCAAGCCTTGCAACTTAATCCGCCATGCTGAATCCATAACCTTGCCCATAGACTCCACGATCCCTTCGTTTTACTTCTTTTCATGCTAAGTAGCCCTTGAGTGATCTTACAGATGGGAGGTTGGGTGATGTAGGCCACTGATTCATACAGCACCCTTCGAAGGCCCCAACATTGCGACCCCTACTATGCCCCTATAAACGGCAAGGGTTGAATGACCCAGGGATCAACATTAACGTTCGTATGCTACGAATCTTCTGGCCTGACTGCGCACGTAGGCGCTCCTGGTTTCGGTGGATAAGGGTTCAAAGGGTTTAGTAGGGGTTCTTTGTAGGGCTGTCAAGGATTAGGGCTTAGAGGGCTTTTAGTTTGATGACACATCCCACAAAATTCGCCCTAAAGTCTTACAGGAGCGAAGAGCCATGCCGAAAGCTCCTTTGATCCAGCTTGGTGCTGGGCTTGTCCGGCTTTTGCCCCCACAGCACCTTGGTCGCAAGCTTTTTGCGAGTTGTTCGTTCGATCTTTTGCGACCCTATAGGAAGGAGGCAACACTGGCAGTGGTGAAGAAACCAGGGTTGTCTAGCCAGTTCGGCCCCTAGAGCATCACGGGAAGCATCATGCCTGCATCGAGCACCCACTTCCTAGTATCTGGCTACCCTACCCAATCCCCCAAGCTCTCCCCAGCAAGCTCCAACAGGCACAACAATCACCAACAACCCCTAAACCCTAAACCCTACACCGAAGAACCCCAAACCCTAAACCGAAGAACCCCAAACCCTAAGGAGCTCCTAACTGCCTTTAATCCCTAAGCCCTAAACCCTAAACCAAAGAACCCCAAACCCTAGGGAACTCCTAACTGCCTTTAATCCCTAAACCCTAAACCCTAAGGAACTCCTACAGTAAGGGCCTTTAGGGCCCCCCGATCCCATGTTCGGTGCCGCGGCGCCGTGGGTAACTTGGCACTCGCCTCGCTGGGTCGCCAAGCCTTCAACAGCTCGGTTTAGGGTTTAGGGTTTAGGGTTTAGGGTTTAGGGGTTTCAGCACTCACTCTCGAACATGTCTAGTCGAGGTTCCTGGTACACGACGATGTGCACATTGGCACTGTTTAGGGGTTTAGGGTTTAGGGTTTAGGGGTTTCAGCACTCACTCTCGAACATGTCTAGGCGAGGTTTCTGGTACACGACCATGTGCACATTGGCACTGTTTAGGGGTTTAGGGTTCAGGGGTTTAGGGTTTAGGGTTTAGGGTTTAGGGTGATTGGAGTTGTTCCAATTTCTGTGTGTTTTGCCGCTTTGGTTCTGGAGGGGGTCTGAGGACTACATGTTGTGAGATTTGGGCATGTTTTGAGGGCATGTGGGCTTAGGATTTAGGCAACCTTGCTGTTGGTATCTAGGCTTCTCGGCGGGCATTAATTATGCAGGAAATTGTCTGTTAGCATCCCTAACGAGACTTTAGGGTTCGGCTAGATTGGCGGATTGGGGTTTGTCTTGCGGTTTAGGTTGAGGGCTGAGGATGTGGGGAATTCTCCAAATTACAGTCCCTTTGTAGATCCCAAATATAGTACGGCACCCCTATAAAAAGAACCCTAAAAAGGACCCTACTTTAGAGAACTGCCGGTTTACGGCCTTAGCCTTTTTGCCTTTATCCAGCCTGCCTCGCCCGATAACTGGTTTGGGGTCCTTTACAGTGGAATTATACTAGGGAGCCCCTTAAAATACTATAGGTAATTATTGAGCCCTAAGCCCTAAACCCTTAAAATACTATAGGTAATTATTGAGGACCCTGCATTACTGTGGCGCTGCCGGGGCCGGCCTGGAAGCTGGCTTAATGCCTGCATTAGACCACGGCGCTCGTGGATACCCAGAGACTCCAATATCCCTAAATTAAGGAATATACCTTAAACTATCGTAGGATCCCTAATATGATTTAAGGTATATTCCTTCTTTAAGGGATTTTCGAGTCTCTGGGTATGCACAAACAGTTCCGAAGCACCTGGCGCTGTCTGCGCCCGAGTCATGACCGCATTGCAAGGTCAAAGGGGTCTCCGCTTCCCGACATTTGGCCGCGAAGCCCTTCAGCCGTAACCCCAAATAACCTACCTTCTTAAGGACTTACATCCCTAAACCCTAAACCCTAAACCCTTCAGCCTTAACTTTTTTAAGGATGTATATAAAGAAATCATAAGAAGGAACCCTAAAAAGGTAGGCTCTTTGGGGCCCAGGTAAGCCTTAAGGCTGCTGGCTTCAAGTTATGCGACGGAGCACATCACCTTCTCCCACTTTGGGCGGCTCTTACCGCGGCCCTCACCATGCCATGAGTGGATCACGCAAGCTCGGCCGAGGCCGCTTGGACAGGCGAAAGGTTCATCCCAGTTCTTGAATCACCCAGAGACTCCGATACCCCTGAATTAAGGAATATACCGTAAATTTTAGTAGGATCCCGAATATGATTTAAGGTATATTCCTTAAATAAGGGATATTGGAGTCTCTGGGCAAGGCGCCCAAAGGGACGCTAGTCTGGGAGCTGGGTTTGGCACAGAAGTGTGAGAGAGCCATCGTTTCGTATGTCTACGCGCACTGTCCAAAGACCTCAAACCTTCGCACCTCCCCGAATGTGGAGATGGGAAAGACCTGAAACTCCACAGGGATTTTACCTGGACCCAGAAGTCTGTAGAAGAATGGCCTTTTGTGGGTGCTGGGCCATGATTTTACTTACTTTTCGGGGTTTAGGCATGGCCGAAAGGACCACCCCCAGAGCCGGAGGTCAGAACCGCACGAACCAGGAACCTGCCTCCAGCAGTACCGTCCACCTCATCTGCCGATGTTTGGAGTTTAAGGCTTTTGAGGATCATTATCGAGGGGCCTTAATAATTAGAATAGGGTTGTGGGGTGTATTATGCTATAATTGTAATAAGGAACCCCCAAAATAGTATGTGTAATTGTTATTATTAGGGCTTGAAGTATCGAGCTTTGGAGACTTAGGTCAAGATTCAAGTCTGGGTGTTTTATACGATGTGGACCTGGGGCAGTGGCGACTGCTGGCATGTGGGGGTCTGGACTTGCAAGCAAACTTGCCAAGAGCTTGTAGCAACAGATTGCTCGTGGGATCGGTTCGTCCACATTGGGGCCTGGGCCATTCTGAACCTCACATGTGGAGCGTGTATGAGGTTCCCGAACAAATTGGACAGTTGATGTTGCCCCTGATAAGAGGATCGATCGTAGCTGTCATGTAAGGACGCCTATAGCAGGAAGCAGTACCCCGCACGAACAAGTATACGGTCGCTGAATTAAACAATCCCTTCTCGAATCCTTGCAAACCCCCAGACGAAGGAGCGTCGATTAATTGTGAGCTAAGGCGGGGCTACATACAAGTCCTTAGTTCAGGGATCCCAACATGCCACCTAATGTAGGGGCCTTAATAATTAGAATAGGGTTTGGGGGTATGTAATACTATATCTACAATAATAAGGAGTCGCCCAAAACCTTATTCTAACCCTACATTAATTGGAGCTACTCAGCCGACCCTAAAGCCCAAAACCCTTCTCAGCCGTTTCTGAGCCCTGGAAGGCTTTCCCGTAAACTTTGGGCCCCTGCGCCAGCAGAGTGGAAGTCAAACGGATCATAGCGTCGAGGCTTCCCGGAGTTTGTTTCAATCAACTCCGGGCTTAGAGGAGGATTTGAGAGAAAGCCTGGGGAATCTCTCAACTTCAACCGTCAGAGGGGAGGGATCCTATAGTCAAAGGTCGGATTGTTTCTCGATTTTTCCGGACTTTTGAAAACTCGGTGGGCAAAAGCGAGGTCTTTCAAAATGCATGGGCTCTTGCACAAAACGTCCTTAAACGCCTGGACTTCGAAGTCCTGATGGTCTCTACGTGGAGTGCCATGGGGCCGGAAACGAAAACTGCTCAGCTGTGCCACGACATCATTCTGTCCTGAAACCTAAACTTTTCTTGAGCAACGTCACGCGCCAAACTCGAGCCGCAGAGCTGCGCAAGCAAGGCCAATAAAGATTTTGTTGGGGGCTTCAGCTTCACCATGCTTCACTGATACCCCACTCTTCCCTAAATGCTGCAACAGGCGAAATCTGGTTTGTAAGGCTAGCGAACAGCAGCCGTCCACCACTACATCTGCAAGAGGCATAAGCAAACACACGGATGATGCTAGCGAAGACACTGGCGATAACTGCGAGGTGCATGACTGCCGATGATCCCTACCACAAGCCCCCAAATCCCAGGCGTAACACTACCACGGCAACTGCATCCAGAAAGCTCTT